CACACACACCAACACACACACACACACACACACACACACACACACACACACACACACACACACACACACACACACACACACACACACACACACACACACACACACACACACATATTTCAAAGGTCTCTCTTATTGCTTGCTCGGAGACGGTCTCAAAGGAGGACTCTCTGATCCAGGGACTATGAAAGTACAATAGAGACATTAATATAAATATGAATATATATGATTCCTCACGGCAGCTGTTCTCGTCCTCTCCGTGTGGACAGTCGGAGACGCCGTCACAGCGCAGGACGGACGGCAGACACACAGCGTTTAAACACTGAAACTGTCCGTCTTCACACTGATCCTGAGGAGGAAGAGTCCCGGGAACCACCGCCGGACACTCGTCTTCATCAGACTGATCCCCACAGTCCAGCTCTCCATCACACCTCCAGCTCTCTGGGATGCACTGAGGGGAGAACAAGCACTGGTACTGGTCCCCAGAACAGGTCGCGGGCTGGGGGGTCACCGGACCTGAGGAGAGGGATTAAACACGGAGGACATGTTGTTAGAGTCATCTTCCAGAGGCGGATTCATTACACATTGTTTACAAGTGGAATACTCCATTCTGATTGGTCAATTTGGATTTAGGATGTTCATTTTTGTTAACAGACTGTTGCTATGTCATAAAATAAAAATGTATCTTTGCCTTTATGCATTTTTTTGGTTTATTCGACATGGACAGGGCTCATTAATACACTGTGTCACACCTCGGTACTGGATTCAAATGGACCTTCAGCGCTCCATTAATCCATTACACACTCACCCCGAGGCTCACCACAGTTTAAATGGAACCAGAGGTGAAAATTGAAAGGAGATGAAAAATGATGGCAGTGTTGAAGGAACAGGAAATGAGAGAAACATCAGAAGAAGTAAAAAATGTGAAATGACCTCCTGCTGTGCACTCTTTGGTGAAAGAGAGGTCGTCCAGAGCGATGTCCGTCCACACGTCCCCCCCCACCTCCGCCTGGAAAGAGACTGTGAACTCTGCCGGGTTGGAGAGGATAACGTTAGCGTAGCTCCACTGGTTTCCATGGTTACCAGCAGCCGCCCACATTAGCAGACTGGAGCCACTGGGACCAGAAGTGAAGACCTGGAGAGAGAGGGGACGGAGAAATAACGTCTAGGTGAAATGAAATAAATCCATTAATAAATACTGTCTGTCTGTCTGTCTGTCTGTCTGTCTGTCTGTCTGTCTGTCTGTCTGTCTGTCTGTCTGTCTGTCTGTCTGTCTGTCTGTCTGTCTGTCTGTCTGTCTGTGCTGTCTGTCTGTCTGTCTGTCTGTCTGTCTGTCTGTCTGTCTCTCTGTCTGTCTGTCTGTCTGTCTGTCTGTCTCTCTGTCTCTCTGTCTCTCTGTCTGTCCGTCTGTCACAGAGAACCTGAAGGCTTAATTTAGCTTTGACAGGAATCTGACTCTCAGCTCTTGTCCTGCTGTCACTCACCTGAAACCCAAAGAGAGAAACGAAAGCCTGACAGGAAATAATCCGTCACCTTCAAACTTCACTGTCATTTCTCAGGGCTTTTTTTAGGCGTCTTTGATGGCTGGGTTCATTTTAAGACAACAAACAATAAGCACAATAAGAAAATACTAATAATTATGTTGATTGATTGTCACACATCAGACATCTGTATTCTTTTATCTAATATCCAATTATACTTCCCTTTTACTGCCATTAACAATAAGACTTGAGTAATATGTATTCCCACAAACCTGCAAGCATTAAGCTAAGGTAAAACAGAGGAGACTTGGTGGACAGGTTTTTAGGAGCATCTCCAGTTCGCCTCTATTACTGACTGTACATTTAATGTGCTTTTAGGGTGACTTCCTATACAACATAAACATGAATTGACTCCACTCCGCAGGGATCCCCCCCCCTTACAGTTTCTCATCAAGGGGGGGTCTCCTGTCCCCGGTACAAACACACTGCCTGAGGAAGGCTATGTGTATTTATTTTGTCATGAACCTTTTTCGGACCACTTATTTATTTATTTTGGTGACGATCCGACCTCCATGCTGCTCCTCTGGTTCAAACTGCATCCACCAAACAATATGATTTATCTCCACCTCCCCAAAATAACCAAAATCTGACACGGTGTGAGATGTTTTAGCTGTTCTGTCCTCATTTCCTGCGATCTTCGTCCTGCAGTCAGTCAGAATGAATGAATGAATGAATGAATGAATGAATGAATGAATTAATGAATGAATGAATGAATGAATTAATGGATGAATGAATGAATGAATTAATGGATGAATGGATGAATGAATGAATTAATGAATGAATTAATGGATGAATGGATGAATGGATGAATGAATGAATTAATGGATGAATGGATGAATTAATGAATTAATGAATGAATTAATGGATGAATGAATGAATTGATGAATGAATGGATGAATGGA